GGTCTGTCCGAGGAGGTGGCACTGAAGCTGAAAACCTAAAGGCAGGAAAGCATGTTGTACAAAGAGTGGATGGAGGTAGGAGGAACCTACCTGTTCCGGGTAGAGGAAGAGCAGATGCTGAAGTCCTGAGATAGCACCCAATGGGTATCTGAGGAATTTAAAGGTGGTCAGAGTCTGGATTGTTAAGACTTTATATTCTAAGAGTACCACTTTCATCTGTGCGTGGAGAATGGACTGGAGAAGAACAAAAGGGGAAGTAGGGAGACTGGTGAGGAAGGTGCGGTAGAAATCCAAGTGGAAAGGAATGGTGGGCCCTGGAGCAGGATGATGCAGGAGGGGTGGGGAGAAGAGGGCACTCTGGGATAGGGTTTGCAGAGGGAGAAGATTTGCCGATGGACGAGATACTCAGGGAGAGGGAAAGAGAGCAATCACAGGTCACTTCTGGCTCCAGTAAATGACTGGAGCCACTTATTTAAATGGGGATTGGCCGGATGCCGTGGCTCACATCTGTAATCCCAGCATTTTAGGGGGCCGCAGCAGGTGGATGACTTGAGGTCAGGAGTTCGAGAACAGCCTGGCCAACATAGTGAAATCCCGTCTCTACTAAAAATACAAAAATTAGCCCGGCGTGGTGGCGCCTGCAATCCCAGCTACTCAAAAGGCTGAAGCAGGAGAATTGCTTGAGCCTGGGAGGCAGAGGTTGCAGTGAGCCAGAAAGGGCCACTGTACTCTAGCCTGGGCGACAGGGTAAGACTCTGTCTAAAAAAAAAAAAAAAAAAAAATCCAAAAGAGGTGACTCATATGGTGGAGTATGGAGGGCTTGGAGGTTCATTGAACACCAGCTGATGAATTGCAGTTCAACTCTGGCACGAATCACCTGGAGTTAGAACAGATCCTGCAAGTTTAAGAGTACAGTTTCCAAAAAGGTTGCCCTTATTTCAGGTGCCAACCACACTGGGGTGACCCCACACCACTTGCACTTCAGACCAACTGGCTACACAGTCAAGAGTATCCATGACCCCCTCAAGGCTGATAATGCACTAGAATGACTCACAGAGCTGAGGAAAGTGCTAATTATAATTTATAGTTTTATTATAAATAATACAAATTAGGACAAGCCAATTGAGGAGATGCGTTAGGTAAGGTCTGCGAGTACCAAACACAGAGCTTCTGTGCTTTCTCCCTGTGGAATCAGGGCTGTCGCCCTCCCAGCACATCAACGTGCTTAGCAACCAGGACGCTCCATGGAGCTTCAGTGTCCAGAGTTTTTCCTGGGATTTCATCATGTAAGCGTGACTGATTGAATCACTGGCCACAGGTTGAACTAAATCTCTGTCTCCTACCCCTCCCACAGGTTGGGCTGGCTCAGAGCTCCAGTCAGGATTGGTCTTTCCAGTGACCAGCTCCCAGTCTGAATTGTCTTGTTAGTAACTCAGGAATAATCAAGGAGCTCATGAATAACAAAGATACTCCTGTCTCAAGAAATTCCAAGAATTTTCGAAGCTCCATGCCAGAAACCCAGAATTAACAAAGACCAGAGGAAGTCTTTATTGTACAATAGGGGTGAACATTTTGAATTCCTTTAAGTATGTTAACTTTGTTTTCCTTTTTTGAGAAACAGTTTCACTCTGTTACCCAGGCTGGAGTGCAGTGGGAGAGATCTTGACTCACTGCAACTTCCGCCTCTGGGGTTCAGGCAATAGCGTCCAGATAGCTGAGATTATGGGCGCCCGCCACTACACCCGGCAAATTTTTGTATTTTTAGTAGAGATGGGTTTTGCCATGTTGGTCAGGCTGGTCTCGAACTCCTGACCTCAAGTGATCCACCTGTCTTGGTTTCCCAAAGTGCTGGAATTACAGGCATGAACAACCACCACTGGCCCAATTTTGCCTTTTTTTATTCCTATTCCTTCAGGAGTGCACAATGGAGTTTTCCTGGGGCTCCATGGCATATAATGACTCCATTGCTTTGATATTAATATGTAGAGGATTTATTATTGCTATTTTAAATGAATTAATAAATCCATGTTAATTATTTCTCTTAGTTAAAAACAGCAAACATTTTTAGATATAATACCTAAACAAAAGCTATTTGTTGGCCGGGCGCGGTGGCTCAAGCCTGTAATCCCAGCACTTTGGGAGGCCGAGGC